AATATAGAGACGAGAAGATCAATTACTCACATGAGGTCTTTGTAGTCACTAAGAAACGTTTGGAGGCCCTCTGATTGGCTTAGTACTGATTTCTTACTACTCGYTCTTTGCTGGAGATTTTCCCACGCCTCCGTGATGATACGCTTTTGGTCAGACAAGTGCTTCTTTTCATCGGGTATCCTTTCCATTAAGTCGTCTGCATCCTGSCTCAAATTTGTGACCTTGATGCCCAGAGCTTTTAAATCTCTCTATCAAATAATTGAGACCAACAGGTAAGTTCAAAATAAATCCTAGGAATTGCAAAAATGTTTGGATCTAAAAATAGGTAACAAAAACAAATGAAACATAATTTACGCTAAGTATCAATTTCTGCACTTAATACTTATGTCTTGAAAACTAACATTAGAGCAACTTATGGCGTGAGCCCTAGGATTAGTKATAACGATCAAATGTTTATATAGCAAATAAAGTTAAATATGCGTATAGCAACAGTTTGTCCATGTAACTTTATTCATGTAGTTTTAAATTTCATCAAATATTACCTGGAAACCCTCGTGTTTACGTTGCAATGCCTGCACACTGCTAAGATCACGTGCACTTTCATCGGTGAACATCAGCGCAGCTTCTTTCTCTTGGATCCAGGCCTTTGTTTCGTCGACATTCCGGTTAAACATATGCAAATCTTTAGCTCGATCCAACGCATTTAGTCGCGTGTTGGTTCGCTCCTTAAGAATTTCCCATCTTGAGCAAATTTGCTCTGCTCGCTGCTCTATTATCTGAAAAATTAAGATCGCGATACAATGTTCTCTTTATTCTGTTGTTATTTACAAAGTCGGCAAGATATCATTAATGGGAACTAAAAGAAAAAAGAAATACTGAAAGTTTGAAACCATTTCAATCTCAAAACAGAATCCCATTATTTAGCATAAATTGCACTCTTCTATCATCAATCTGCTATGTCTTCAGCCTTTGAATTAAAAAGATTAAACTTAAGACGTCTTTCATGTAACTACACTATACATAAAAAAAGGTGAGCTATCAAACTCAAGTAAAATCTCACCTCACTATCACTATGCTCATCATTCAATAACTCTTGCGCATGCGTAGTAAGTTTTGCTATCCTCTCTCCGGACAAAACYAAGTCACGTGTAAAGGCTTCAAACTTTTCCATCAGCATGTCGACATGTTCCAGATCACGRCCACAGTCGTCAGAAGTGACGATGTTTTCTTTCTCTTCGATCCATGTTTCCACCTCGTCAACCTCACGCAAGAAAGCATGGAGTCGAGAAGATTCGAGAAGACGGTGGTGACGATATGAAAATAGTTCACTAAGTTCKGAGTACCGTTGTAGAAGTTCTCTCTGAAAGGTAGAAATTGGAGAAATTCAGTGTGATTTACTACRTGGAAGAGCATCATAACGTGACTGATTTTCTGAATTTGCGCAACTGCTTAGCTCAGTTCRTACTACATGTATTATCAAGAGGTTCAAAGCGAATCAATATGAAACCATGTGACGGAAATTACCTGTCGCGTTTTTATGTTATCAGAATCACTATTTCCCTGTTGAACCATATTCTTACACTGCATTCCGAGCTCATCAATTTTCTTGTCGAATCTGTCAAAGTCTAGCTGCAGTGTTTCGTGCTTGCGTAGGAGGGTCTTAGYGCTGGTTTCGTCACGACCATAGTCTTCGTTAGAAACCAGAGGGAGTTTCTCTTGAAGCCATGTTTCGATTTCTGAGACCTGGGCGTAGTACTGAAGTAGATAGTAGAGTTGGTTGAAAATACGCAAAGAAACGATGGTAATTGTCGAATTTGCATTATTCAAACTAGCATAAGAAGTTACTCTATGTGTATACCTAATTATATTCAGGTGTATACTGTATACTAATATATAAGTGTATAAATGCAAAAATTTGCCATGATTTTGGTAATAAAACCGGCCTGTTCTCCTGATGAASATCTGGATGAGTTTGCTGCTTTCTTAATCCTGGAGGAGAGACAAGGGTTTCTTGAACAAGTTTAACGACACACACACACCTGTTGTGTAGCTAATGATTCATTAAGCTTAGTCCTTCTAATTTCTGCAAGTCGCGTRAGTTCTGTCCAAGATGATTTTAAGTTGCTTGAATTCTCCAAGATAACACCAGTAGCAAAATGCCCGCCATTCACTAACCGTCTTGCGGTTTCGTTCACTGATTGAACTAACTGCTCATGCGTAGTCAACTCAGCTTCGAAAGCTTCATGCTTCTGCAGCAAGTTCTGTACACCTGAAAATAGGATTAAAAAATCATGACGGAAGCCAAGGCAAGAAATTAAGTGCGATTATAATAAATCAGCATGGCCAACTGTGATGGCTAGAGTGTCCTGGCACAAAGGGATGTATACACTCTAAATACTAGAATGAATTGATAAAGAACGAACCATTCAAGTTGTGACCGTAATCTTCAGAATTAACCAATGGTTCTTTTTCTCGAATCCAGTCCATCTCCTCGCGTGCATCATTTATAAATTGAAACAACACAAGGCCTTCTTCAAGCATCTGTTTTCGTGCAGCCGTTGGCTCAGAAAGTTGTTCAAACCTTTGAATAAATCACGAAATCTTTAAACATTATTGATTAGGCAATTGGCTTAGTACATACATGGAAGAAATAAACCACAATAAATTACTTAAAATCAAACAAAAAAAAGGAGCATCAGTAGCAATAAAGTKATTGTCCAGCATTTTCAGCATTATTTTGTTTCAATGTTGATCACAAACCTCTCAGCCACATCAGATGCTCTTTCTGCAATTTCCTCTTTCTGGAAGTGATCAGCTTCYTGAAAAGCATTTGCCTGGTCTAGGATCTCGTTAACACGGTCTTCATGACTCAGGATATCCTCCTCTGTTAGTCTATGTTTCTTTATCAAATTTCCCACAGATCTCAAGTCTCGTCCATAGTCCTTTGAAGAGAGAGCTCCATAGATTTCATCCATCCATGTATCTAACTCTGTTACGCTACGATCAAATGTTTGCTTTTGGATGGCCTCTTTAAGCCTTTGCGCTTTATTTGCTGAAAGGTCTTCGAGGAGTTTCCAAAGATCAGTAAGATCCTTTTGTCGTTTTTCTACTGTTTCACGATGAGTATTGAGTAGTGAATCACCATCTTTGATTACGCTATCAAGCTGTCCTTTATTTGCGGTTACTTCGGCTTGAAATGTTTCATGCTTTTGAAGCTTGAGCTGCAGGTTAGAAGCTTCTCTATAAGATGCCTCGGCTGCGGTCTGCAACTTTTCGTTAATCCAGGATTCCATCTAATGAAGTATAAAGATTTATCRATCACTCAGTTATGTTGTTATGATGGAKAAAATTTTGTCCGCGTACACAARAATCTTAAGTGRGCTGGAATAGTTATCRTTACCTCATCTGCGTCCCTTAGAAATTGGAAGAGTAGTTTCGATTCACCGAGTTTTTCGCTTTTAGATGCTAATAAACKTTTAAGTTTTTCCCACTTTTCTAAGACCTCCAATTGTCGACGTTTGATGATATCCATCTGGTAGTGTTTCTTATCTATRAGGTTATTTGCTGAATGGTTGAGGGTGTTGATTTTTTCCTCATACGCTGCGATAGACTTTTCAAAGTTGACTTGAGTTTTTAAAAGTGACTGCACTGTGTCAAGATTATCGTTTGAATCGTTGTGGATCATCATATTTTGCTTGTTTGTTATCCAGTTATCAGCTTGATCTGCACTGGCTAGAAATACCTATAATAATGGAAATACCAAGGTCAATGTTAATTGAAGTAAAAGAATACAAGAATACTTTGAAACTCATTGCGCACGCTCGGAAGACGTACGGTAACTTGCGGCAACTTAAGATTTTTGATGCGGATGTTTCTAGTCTTACACAAAATCGCAAAAGTATAGTAAAATAGGGAAAACTCAAAAAATATGGAAAAGGATTCTTCAAAAGATGCATAATTCTTGGTGCAAGTCTTAGCCCTGTATCGTGTCTCTTCTTCCATCAACGGACTCTTAGGGAATGGCGTCACGACTTTCATCCTACTCTTGGCTTGTTCAAATATTTTTATACTAGCCTGAAGCTCATAAGACTGTTCTAACAGCTTCTGTCGTTTTTGCCAGACGTTTTGAAGGTGTGAGCTCATTCCATTGAGGTTTCTGACATCGCCTTTGATCTCTGTCTCTGCAAAATGGTTCTGCTCAACTAAACTTAGTCCAAACGCATGCGTTGCTGTTATTGATTCTTGTCGGGCGTCGATTTCACTCTAAAATATCATACAGCATTGATTGATTTAAACAAAAGGTTTGATAAAGTATATATTAAATAGTATGATGTACCATTTGCGAAAACTTTAAGAAAACTTTTCTAAGGCATGAGAGGAAACSCCATTTGACTGRTGTTACAGACCTTTCTCTCTTTGTGTAAATCTAGCAGTGCCTGAGCATCTTTCACATTGSTTGCCAGTTCCCCACTTGTTATTCGCGAATCGAGATCGTTCATCCATGACGTTAGGTCTCGGTAATCAACAAGGAATATTTGCAGCAATCGGTTGGCTTCAAGACRACCTTTCCTGAAAAGAAAGCCCAGTTAAAGYCATGCGCGAGGCAATGTTATCAGAAACTCATTTCCTCGTWACTCATTACTACAAACCTTTCGTCAAACTTGTCATTYAGCTGTTCCCAGCTTTCTATAATTTCAGTYTGTTTRGCCTGGACGATCCGTGCCATGTGAGGCTGAGAACGTACGAGTCGATGAGCCTCATTCTCGAGCATTTCCATTTTACCCTCGATCACAGTCAATGCTCGTTCAACGTCGTCATGTTTACGAATTAGAGCTTCGGTACTGGGAAGATCACGTCCAAGATCTTCAGTTGATAATATAACGTCCTGAGGAAAAATAAGTTGCTTTTGCTATATTTCGCAGATTGGGAAGACTGTAAGTAGTTATACAGTTTTAGCATCTTGAATTTACAGATTAAGGATTTTCCGCTTCAAGAAGATCTCTTGTAGAGGGAGGCTCATTCCACAGAAATGGTTACAAAGGAGACGAAACAAATAGGAAAGTACAAGTTCTTATAAGGAGTTGGGCACCCCTGTATCCAATTAGAAAGACCCATCACTATCGTTTCACAGCATCGGGATCCATTAGTGTGTTCATTTGCTGATCCAAAACACAAAATTCCTGTTTTTGATTTGCCGAAAGAACAATTATGGCTCAATATATTGCTTTTGGATTGCTCATGTTTCTKAGAAAGGTTAACAATCGAAGAAATACCAAACTGACCATTTTAGGAGAACAGTCGCCTCACAGAAAAAGCAACCAACTTTAAATCGCTCTAACAGCTTATGAAAATCGTAATACTATACCTTCTCATTAATCATACCAGCCACCTCTTTACAACTACGGTCAAATGCATGGATCTCACAAGCCTCAGCTAACTTCTGCCTCCTCTCACTGGCTTTATCTTGAAGCGCATTCCATCTTTCATTCAGAGCTTGTTGTCGTTGATAAATAAGGGAGGATCCTGCATGTCCTTCATTGACCAGTTTGTCTGCCAGGCGATTGATAGTGGCAACTCGGTCTTCCTCCACGGCAAGGTCTTGATCAAATTCCTTCATTTTCTTTTGYAAGTGAATGCAGTGGTCGTAATCATTACCTACATCTTCTGATGAAACAATGGCTTCCTGGAATGTTATTCAATAAGAAATCAAATGAGAATGACCAGGAAGAGAAAGCTTATAGCGACGAGGAGGAAGACTTATGGTTACCGCAGTACGTAGGTAGCACTGGTTCACGTTTTATTCTTACAAGGTGCATATCTAAGGTAAAATCCAAGGTAAAAGACATCTCTCAATACCTTATCACTTATGCTTGAGTCGGCAATGTCCACTTCGATGTTGAACTTTTGATGATCTCTGGCCTCTTCCAGTTTTCTTYCCTTGTTGCTCGACGCCTCTAATAGTTCCTCCCAATGAATATACAGTGATTCGATACGCSATTCAACTTCATTTGCACTAAAATGACCCGAAGATATGAGCTCTTCTCCATTTCTCTGGACTGAGTCGATAACATCTTCATGAGCAGTGAGTTCTGCTTCAAACGTCTGATGCTTTTGTAGTTTACTTTCGAGGTTTGTTGGATCTCTGTATGATTCATCTTGAGCTGTTTGGAGCTTCTCAGTTATCCAGGATTCGGCCTATAGATCACRGTGAATGTTTGATTTGAGACAAAAGACAATGAAACAAAAGAGAAAATAAATATAGTACAAACACACATAAAACTCAAATATCGAAAAACCAAACAAAAGAGGGAAAAAAACGCAAACAACATACACACAACAA